AAGGCTTATATCCATAACCAACAGTTATGAATATTAACTGTTAGAGCAATATTAAGAACATTAGAGCAAAATAATTTCAATGAGGCCTGGAGCAAGAAGTTTGATTAATCTGAAAATCTGTTTCTGTATCTGGAAAATGAGAATGCTAGATTTAAACTTTTAAGAAAGCAGAGAGAACAGAGGTGGGTCCTTTGCAAACTCAAGGGAACTTAGATTTCAGGCCAGAAGAGATTTCATTAACATTTACTCAAAGTCACCAGGAAAAGATCAATCAGAAGTAAGATGATATGATCCATATGGGCACTGGCTAGAAATTTTAACTTTTACTCCACATTATCTTTATTCTCTAAGAATAAATAAAAGGCTAGGGATGCAGCTCAGTGGCAGATCACTTGCCTAGCTTATACAAGGCTCTGATTTTGAACACAGTACCCCAAATAGAAAAGAAAAGAAGAAATGAAGGCAAGAAGAAAATTACTGTTATTTGAAACACAGCTACATAGCTATACAAATTTGTTATATTTGACAAGAACAAATGTTAGTCTAAAACAGTCCCCACATGAAAAAATGATACTGTAGCAACTGAGGGAATGAAGCACTAATAAACTATACATAAAAGAATATTTTTTGTATGGTGTGAAAATAAGTCCTTTTTGGCAAAAACATCACCTATGCAGTATCACAGAATGGAAAGGCTAAATAATACAATACAGAGTACATAATAAGCATCCCTCCCATTTTACAGATGAGATAATTCAGAGAGAGCAAAGGTAAACAGCAATGCCCTCCCCCCTTTATTTTTGCAGTACTAGGTGTTGAACTCAGGGCCTCACTCTTGCTACACGAGTGTTTTACCACTTGAGCTATTCCACCAGACCAAGTGAGTAGCTTTTTAGAGTTCTGTGGCTATGCAGGGTAGAAACAAAGACAGAAGCTAGGTCTCCACACTACTTAAATCTAACAAATGATGTTGATAAGAGATCTCTGTAAGAGATCCACTTAAGACTCCCCCCCACAAAAAAAAAAGAGAAATGGAAAGTAACTATAGAAAAAGATATCCACGCAAAGAGCAAGCAAAAGATGGCTGAAGTGGTATTCTAATTTCAGATAAAATAGTTTGACAAAAACAAAAAAAAAAATTTTTTTTTAAAGGTACAAAAACTGGATGTGGTGGTTCATGCCTGCAATCCCAATAGTTGGAGAGGGTGAAGCAGGAGGACTACAAGTTCAAAGTCAGCTTGGACGATACAGCCAAAACCTGTTTCAAAAGTTATGAGAGAAGAGAGCAGTGGTTCTTGCCTATAATCGTAGTTACTTGGGAGGCAGAGATGAGGTTCTCGGATCAAGGCCAGAGGTTCAACATTAACCCTAGGTAAAAGTTCTTGAGAACCCATCTCAAGAAATGAAGGCTGTGTATGGTGGAGTGACATCTGGCTCCTAGCTGTCTGAGGTATAAATAGGAGAACTGCAGTCCAGGCTGGCTCAGGAACAAACATGAGACCCTATTTAAAAAAAATAAAGCAGGGTGGGGAGGTTGGGGGTGGGCAAGTAAACCAAAAAGGACTGTGGGCATGGCTCAAGTAGTAGAGCACCTGCCAAGCAACCTAACCACAGTACCACCAAAACAAGGAAGAAAAAAAGTAAGTTACAACAGGGCTGGGGATACAGTTCAGTGGTACAGCACTTGCCAAGCACATACAAGGCCCTGGGTTCAATCCCCAACACTGGAAAAAAAAAAAAAAGAGGGTGGAGGGGGAAGCATGAGAAATCATTTAAAAAAGGGAAGGAGGCAGGCAGGAAGGATGGATCATTTGTAAGAAAAGGTAATACAAACTTATTATAATCCTAGCACTCGGGAGGTAGAGGAAGGAGGGTCACAAACTCCAGGCCAGACTGGTCTACATAGTGTTCCAGACAGCCTGGGTTATACACCAAGAACCTGTCTAAAACAAAAAGAAAAAACACATTAAGAGAAAAAGGAAAATTATATAAAGGGTCAATCAATCAAAGGGATACAATAATTATAAACACATATGCAAAAAATAATAATAAGAGTCTCCAAATAAGTAAAGCAAAACCAGGAAGAACTGAAGGAAGAAACAGCTAGAGCAGTCACAGGTGAAAATTTCAACACCCCACTGTCAATAAGAGAGAACTACACAGAAAATAAGAAAGGAGGTAGATAAATTGAACAATTCATCCAAAAGTAACAGACTGAGCATTTTTCTCAAGTGCTTGAAGAACATTCTCCATGATAGAACACATTAGGCAAAATATGCCTTGATTATTTTTAAAATACTCAAATCACTTCTATCCTCTCTGCATATAATGAGATGTAATTAGAAATTAACAGAGGAAAATCTGAAAACAGAAGGAAATTCATAAACCTGTAAAAATTAACAGTAATATACTCTTAAACAACCACAGGATCAAAGAAGAAACTGGAAGTATTTTGAAAAAAAATATAAAAACTTACTTAACCCAATTAATCCAAAGAAAGAGAATGATAAAGATCAGCATGGAGATAATAGACAATGGAAAAAGAACAGAGACTGAATAAACCAAAATCTGGTTAGTTGAAGAGATAAATGACATTAACAAACCTTTACTGGATTGCTTTTTAAAAGTGGGTGAATCAAATTACTAAAATCAGGAATAAAAATGAAGACATGACTATTGACAATTATGAGAACACTGTGATCTATTAAAACAGACTAAATGAAATATAATTCATATAAGACAGAATATACCCACTTAATGAGTACATTTTATTACCAGGGTAATAAAACATTTAATCACCTCAAAGAAGTACCCTTTAGTACATCATCCCCCAATCCTCTATCATACTAGCTTTAAGTAACCATTAATACACTGTTTCTATAGATTTGCCTATTCAGGATAATTCATGTGAATACAGTTTTACAGCATGTTGTTTATTTTCCTTACAATAGGTGTTTCTTTGGTATTCATTTGAGATAGGGCTTCACTATGTTGCCAAAGATAGCCTCAAACTCACAATCCCACTAACACAGCCTTTCCAGTAACTAAGAATTATTGGCATGTATTATCATGCCTGGCTTTATCTTGTTTTCAAAGTTCATTCATGATATAGCATATATCAACATTTCATTCTTTTTGTGTGTTGTGTGTGTGGTACTGGGACTTGAACTCAGGGCCTACACCTTGAACCCTCTCCCAGCCCTTTTTTTGTGAAGGGTATTTTCAAAATAGGGTCTTGAGAACTATTTGCCTGGGCTGGCTTTGAACTGTGATCCTCCTCATCTCTGCCTGTGAATAGCTAGGATTACAGGCGTGAGCCACAGGTGCCTGGTTAACATTTCATTCATTTCTTAGTCAAATAATACTCCATTATAAGGATATATGACATTTTTCTCACATGCTCATTTAGCTAGCTGATGGGCAATTTGAGCTGTTTCTTCTTTTCCCTTATTCTGAGTTTTTGGGTCTGCTTTGTTTCTGACAACTAATTAGATAACATGAAATGAACAAATTCCTAGAAAGACATGAATTATCAAAAGAGTCAATACAAAATAAAATACCTCAATAGAGAAACTGAATCAGTAACCAAGAAACTAAGCAAATCCCAAGACTGATCACTTTATAAGTGGTTATTTAATTATGAACAACAATGCTTCTCCAATTCTTTCTCCCAAAAAACAGAATTACTTCTTCTTTGACATTAGTATTACCCAGATACTAAAACTAGACAAAGATATTATGAGTAAAGAAAACTAGAGAGAAATATTTCTTATAAGAATAGATAGAAAAACCTTCAGGAAAACACTAGGAAACCTAATCCAATAGCATGGATACCACTTCAAAACAACAGGATGGTAAATGAAAAAAGAAAACATAAAGCAAGTATTGGTGACAATGTAGAGAAATTAGAACCTTCATACTGTACTAGTGGGAACATAAATGGTAAGTTCCAGAAAAAATGAGACATATAATTACAGTATGACTCAGCAATTCTACTCCTAGACATACATCCAAGGGAAGTGAAAAGCCTCTGTTCACAAAAAGCTTGTATTATGAATGTTCAGCAATGCAAACATCCATGAACTGATAAATGGAGAAACAAAAAATAGTTAAAGCCACCCAAAAGAATATTACTCAGCACAGAAAAGAATGAAGTACTGATTCACACTTCTACATGGACCTTGATAACGTTATGCTAAGTGAGTTTGAAGATGGGTCTGATGGTGCATTCCTAAAATGCACACATTTGGGAAGTTGAGGCAGGGGGGTTGCAAATTCAAGATCAGCATGGGGTTTTGTAGCAAGACTCTAAAAATAAACAGACACATTTTTAGAAGTTGGGAATTCCTTTTATGGTAATGAAAACCTTCTGAAAAGTGGTAATGGTGCTGGATGTACAGTATTGTGACTACATTACAAGCTATTGGATTATTAACTTTGAAGTGTAAAGTTAAAGTGGGGAATTTTATGGGATAGAAATTTTACCTAAGTTAGAAAACCAAAATTAACAAAATCCCTTTTGTAATCTTCTCTCCATTTGCTCAAAACCAAAATCCACAAACCGCCATCAAATACTTCATAAATGTAATACCGTTATCTGTTATGAGAGTTTTTTTAGTTTTAGCTACCATAAAAAAACAAAAAACAAATTTAATACTAGAGGCATGGATCAAGCAGTACAGTGCCTGCCTTGCAAGTGCAAAGCCCTTAGTTCAGTACCCCCAAAAACAAAATTTAAATTGATGGCATGAACCTGTAATACCAGCACTCCAGAGGCTGAGGCAGGAGGATCACAAGATTGAGGCCAGCTGAAGTTACACAGCCATACCCTGTCTCAAAAAGCCAAACAAAAACAAAAACCCAAACAATTTAAGAAAAAAAAATATGAATCTTAGACACATTTATATTGATCATTGTATTCACATGAGTGCAAGCCACCCCAAGTATTTTAGTAATAAATACATATATTATCCTTGTTCTAACATGCAGCAGTGACTCACCAATCTTTTCTGGCTCATCAGGCCCTGTGCCGGCAATACAGCTGCTTTCCAAGCCATAGGTAGGATCCACCTTGCCAGATGCTCTTGCTGCTTCTTGTACTTTCTTGACATGAGCTTCAACCAGTTCCAGTGGTACCTCCTCCCGGACACGAGAAAACTCCTCTGATTGAAAAATGAAAACAGCGACCTCAGTGTACATAAATACTTGCTTAAATATAAGACCACTAAGATATGACAAAGTATTATTCCCTCGGGTGTGGTAACTTCCTTCAGGCTGAATCACTTTATCAGCAAAATGAGAAGATAAAATAAGATAAACAGTAACAAAATTCTGACTCTAGCTTTTCATACTGCATGCCATAGTTCCATGCTATGTATAAGGACAAAATCCTCAAAGTTCTACCAGTAACAACCAAAAACTACAGTTCAGATTTAACTGTCTGTGGGCTAGACTGATGATCAGGAAAACATCAAGGATTAAACAATCATAAAACCAAGAAAGAGTCTTATAAGTATAAGAAAATTCTAGTCATAATTAATACAATCAAGAATATTAAATATCTTCCTTCTCAGTTCCATGAAATTCAAAATGAATCACAAATATACCATAAAAAACTATTTTCGTCATGTATGAAAATGGAAAAATGAGACATGTTGAAACTATTACAGTAACGAGGGAGGGGTGAATTCAACTATGATATGTGGTAAGAACTTTTACTAATGTCACAATGTACCCCCAGTACAACAATAATAAATAAAACAGAAAACAAAAAACTCTTTTGGTCCTCCAACTTTGTTTTATTTTTTGAGACAGAATCTTGCTATGTAGCCTAGATTGGCCTCAAACTCGTGATCTTTGAGTTTCCCAAGTGCTGGGATTATGTGTTCGCTACCATGGCTAGCAGTTTCTCCAATTATTTATAAAACTTTTAATTTACAAACTATTATAAATGCTTTATTTTAAAATGTTATAATACTTCTTATTAGGCACATGGTATCTTTAGGGGAAATGTCTGATTCTTTTTATTTATATGAGAAAAAAATGTGACAGCAGGTAATATTTAAACTTGAGATAAATTAAAATTTTGTTATTGAAGAGATGGAGTCCATACCCAAAGCCGCTTTTGCTGCAGCAGATGCCACACGAGGATCTACCACAGATGCCAAAAAAGCAACAGTACTCATGACCGGGTTTCCTGACTGGCTGAAAGGGACAGGCTGGTAGGCCAGTGGCCCAAGGGAAGCATCCGAGTTCTCAAGGTACGGGTCCTCGATGGGAAGCCTCAAAAAGTGGAGAATGCATTCATCTTGAGTGCGACTACCAACGTGCTCTGACACTTTGTTCCAATCATCCTTATACATCTCCAAGGCCTAAAATTGAAAAAAACAAAAACCAGGACTTTAAGTATCAGATAATAAATAATATACAATGCAATTAGAAACCCATGACTTTTTTTTTTTTTTTAAATGACAGTCTCCTTTACCATGTAGTCCAGGATGGCCTCAAGCTACCAAATCTCTTGCCTTAGTCTCTACCCCAGGAGAGTAATCCCAACATTGAGGAGGCTGAGGCAGAAAAGATTTGAGAAATCAAGCTAGCTTTGGCTACATATTGAGTTCAAGGACAGCATGAGCTACATGGTGAGACGCTATTTCGCAAATACAAAATACTAATACAAATGACTATATTGTACAAAAAACAAATAGGTAGATTTGACAGTTTTCCTTCTATTAAGTTCTCAACCAGGCAAGAAAAATAAATAGAAGACAGACATTACAAAAATGTCATTTACTAATACAGACATGATTATTTTATAGAAATTCTAAGGAAACCACAAAAAAAGGGTACCAAAACTAAATACTTAAGCAAAATCCCAGGATAGAAGAGCAACAAAAAAAGTCAACTACGGCCAGGCGTGGTGGCTCCCACCTGTAATCCCAGAAACTTGGGAGGTGGAGATCAGGAGGATCATGTTTGGAGGCCAGTCGGGCAAAAACTTAGTGAGATTCCCATCTCAAAAAACAAGCTAGGCATGGTTGGCTCACAGTTACAATTCCAGCAGTGAGAGAGGCATATGTAGGAGGATCATAGTACCAAAGCCAGCACAGGATAAAAAAATAACTGCAGCAAAAAAAGGGATTCAAGTGTAGCTCATTTAGAGTGCCCGCCTAGCGAGCACAAGGTCCTAAGTTCAAACCCCGGTACTACTTAAAAACAAAAACCAAAAAACCCTCTACAAAATTATTATTTCTATATATAAAAATAATAAAAAAATTATAAGATCAACATGTTGGAAAAAAAACATGGTGAAAGTTCAAAGTCCTAAGTAAATGAAGAGATATTAGCATTAATTCATAAAAAGTCTCACTACTATCAATTTTTATTAGCATACACTAATTATGTAAAGAGTTTTCATTGTGATTCATAATGAAATTGTGAATCCAACTCCAAGTAAGTTATCAATTCATTCCAAGGTAAATTACAGACTCATTACAATCCTTATCAAACTCTAAGCAGGTCTTATTTTGTGTAGAAATTAATAAACTGCAACATTTATAAAGCATATAAATCTCTAACTTTAAAACTTGTAGAAAATGCTCGAAGGGATTCCAATAAAAACATCAAGATAAATCTCCAAGGGAGTAGGAAAAAAAAGCCAGAAATAGATGATATTTTAAAATTCGAGAAATTAACAGGAAAAAATGATTTTAGTGGCTAACTAAAGTTAGTACTCTCATACCATTCTCTCTAGGATCACGTTTCTCGTTTGTTTGGTGTTTTTGGGGTGGGGGGAGTTATTTTGCTTCTTTCTTGGTGATTCTTGGGATTGGGTCTAGGAACTCCGGCAAGTGCTCTACCACCAACTACTCTCCCAGTTCTATGGCACTGGTTCTGAACCAGGGGCAACTGTGCTCTTTGGAGATTTTCACAATGTTGAGATATTTGTGCTGACACAACTGGAAATATCCTACTGGCAGCTAGTTGAGTAAAGACCACAAATGCTGTTAAATAGTCTACAATGCAAAAAGAACTACCTCCACAAAAAGTTATCTGGCCCAGATGTCAATAGTACTACAAACAAAAAACCTAGCTCTGGAGCTAGGTTTAATTTGCTCTGAGATGAGCTCCTACATTAACAGTCCTCTTCGTGTTTACTTGCCTAACAATTCTTAACACCAGGCTCCAAATACTGCTCCAGGCTTTTGTTTCTACCTG